TGGGTGTGGGTGTGGGTGTGGATGGCTGTGGGTGTGGGTGTGGGTGTTCGGATAGCTATGAGTCCTCTATTTGCCCACACCCACCCACACCCACACCCACACCCACACACCCACACCCACACACCCACACCCACACACCCACACCCTCTCTTATAACTATTTGGAGGATAACTTGAAAGAAAACATGTTTGCACATGCTATGCCCCCGATGTCACACTTGATTAGCGGAAATAGACCGCTTGTGCACATCTTGAAGGAATTTTGCCATCACGCTTCGTAGCGCCTCAAATAAAATGGACTTCACACCCGGCTCATCTTTGTTTCACTTCTACTATTCTGTCATTTTATGCACAACTATGATTTTTCTATATGTTTGAAGAAAGGATTTCTGAATAAAACGTTTATCTCTCTGTTTGGTTTATCAGAAAACAGTGCCGATGCATATTAGAAGTATGCATCATTTCCAGTAGCGAAACTTGTCCAAAATATTTGCCAATTGTCTCACTGATTTGTTGTGGTAGGATGTCAGCAAAGGCGTTTCTAGAAAGTTACGATCCGCTTCCACTTTGGTCAAAGATCTGTGCATGTGTGTATTTGAGAAGGATAAAGATGTAGGTGTTCCCTTCGGCCAACCACACCAGCGCCGACACCAACATCTGTCTTTCTTCAGTATATAACAAATTACCTTGTACATAAAGATAAAGTAGAAGAATGTTAACTTCTTTCAATTATTATAATGGTTCCTTTGCAATCTCGAAAACGTTCGTAATATTATTAGTTTATGTATCGGAATGGTATAAAAATTCTATTTCCAATTATTCGTTCAGAGGCTTACATTCACTGGAGAATTTTATATTGTCAACATAAACCAAATAATGAGACTTGAAGTCAAGTCAGAACTCGTTCTGCAATGAAGAAAAACGGTACCATACCGAACCAAAAAAGATACTTTGAACGAAAGAAGGGTTTCTTACATCGTACGGAACCTAAAAAGGTTTCGAATTCGTTGCAATTCTCT